CCCTTATTAAAGGAAAGAGAAAACCTGGCACCCGCCCCACCGGCCAAGGATGGATGGTGACTTGTAGACGTTTAAAGAGGATGGTGAGGATGAACCTTGAGATTCCAACACTGAAATCCCAAGGGTGGTTTTACCTGGGGCGTGAGTTTATGGGAGATTTTTAGTTCTTCTTTACCCTTTGCTGAATTTTCCAAATACAGGCACACCTTGTTCTGCCGTGCTTCACAGATACTGAATTTTTTACAAACTGAAGGTTTGTGGCAACCCTGCTTCGAGCAAGTCTATTGGCACCATTTTTCCAAAAGCATTATTTTAAATTAAAGTATGTACATTGGTTTTTAGACATAATGCTATGGCACACTTAACAGACTACTATGTAGTGTAAACATAGCCTTTATATGCATTGGGAAACCAAACATTTTGTGTGACTCGCATTATTGCAATGTTTGCTTTATTGCGGTGATCTGGAACCATACCCACAATATCTCCGAGGTCCGCCTGTAATTTTGCCATGACCAAGCATCTTGTTTATAATCAGAAAAAATAAAAGTTGTTTTTGAATGCAAGTTTTGAATCTCATTTCACATTTGCTCCTAAGTACAGACGCTAAAGGGGGAAAGTGTATGTTTTCTGTGATCCAGGGACAAATGCGGTGTTGCTTATCAGGAGAACATGGGCAAGAAGAAGGTCGTATGCCCCCCAATCTGCTGTTGGGGGACTGTTCTGGAAAACAGTTTGACAGTTTCTTATAAAGTTAAAATACACTTAGCATATAATCCAGCAATCTCACTCTTGGGTATTTATTGTAGAGAAATGAAACTTATCTTCACATAAAAACCTGTACATGGATGTTCATACCAGTTTCATTCCTAATACCCACAAACAGGAAATAACTTGGCCTTCAGTGGGTGAAGGGTTAAGCAAACGATGGTACATCCTTTCAAAGGAATACTACTCAGCAATGAAAAGGAGCAAACTACTGATACATGTGACACCTTGGATGGATCTCAAGGGCATCGTGCTGAGTGAAAAAACAGCCACTCCTGGGAGTTCATGTGCTATATATGATTCATCTGGAAGATGGAAATATTCAAAGATGAAGAAAAGAATGCTATCTATGAATATTCTCATAGTGACACAGTTATAGCTCTAAAGAACAGATCAGGGGTTGCCAGGCATTAAGGGTGGGGTGGGGTGTGACCATTTGGGGGTTGCTTGAGGGAGTTTCTTTGTGGTGATGGATGCACTCTACACCTTGTTCATGGTGACAAATATTCACATGTGATAGAATTTCACAGAACTATACACCCACCCCCAAAAGTTCCCATACAGCTAGTGACATCCAAATCAGGTTGTATTCAAGTTAATAGCATTGTACTAATGTCATTTTCCTGGTCTTGATAATTTTACTATGGTTATGTAAAATATTATCATTGGACGAAACTGGGTGAAGTATTACTACTTTTGCAACTCCTTGTGAACAACTGTAAACCATTTTAAAATGAAACAGTATTAAAAACATCTGACTCATCTCTACTCTGATTTCTTTGTGTTGGTTTCATTCTTAGGCAAGACCTTACCTCATGGTAACAAAAAGGGTGCCAGCAGCTCCAAACCTATATCCTCCCAGTTTAGCAATTGTCACTGAAAGACCACCCCTTTCCCAGTAGTTCCAGCTAACATCCTGCAATTGAGCCTCGCTTCTGTCCTATGTCACATGCTCATCTCTGTCAATCACTGCCACCAGAGGAATGGAATACATTGACTAGTCAGGCCTAAGTCATGGCCAGACTCCTGCTCTCCCATAGCAGGCACAGGACAGCACTCTCAGAAGCATATGGGGACTTCATTCTGGAATTAAATGTATAAATGTATCTTTAGCAGAAAGGAGGATTGGAAGCTAGGTTGTAAAACCAATAGATGTCCAGCAGAGAGGAAAACAGCATCATTATAAGGATAGAATATTACATGAGACGGTGCGTGTAAAACACATGGAAGGTGGTAGGTGCTTATTAGGAGATTAACAAAGAGGTTTCCTCTGCTTCCCCTGGTCACCGTTGCTGATGAGAAGAATCAGGTACGTTGGAGAATTCAGCCCAGTTTGCCATTTGCACCAGCTCCGGCTGCATTTCAGACAAGTGCCCAGCAGCACCTGGCTGCCTTTCTTACAGAGAACTCCACAATCCTGAGCCCCTTTCTATTGGTCCCAATTGGATGTGATGTCTTTCCTACCAGATTGCCTGCTCAGAGAGTCTGAATCTTACTTTCCTCTAAAAATAAGAGCCAGTCAGCATTAGTGGCATTGTGCCAGGCACGGTGCTAGACATCCTTCATTACAGTTGTCACCCTAACCCAGGGCAGATGGCATTGCCCCATTTTGCAGATGGACAAACTGAGTTTCAAGGGGGCCAGCACATAGTTTAGAAGTGGCAGAGGCAGATCTCAAACCCAAAGGCTCCAAATGCCATTTATTTTGGGCAGAAGAAACCCCTCATTGTCCCCAAGATTTCACCAGTGAAATTCAACCAGCAGAGCTGACCTAAGTGTGGAGCTCCTGTCCACCTGCTCTCCAGCATCCCCGCTTCCCGTCCTAATGGGCTGCTATTTCTCTCTCTTTTTATGATGCTGATCTACTGGAGGCCAGGGCATGGATATCACTGTAAACCAAGCCCTCGATGGAGCAATTAGAGGCACAATTGCTTCCTCTGCTCCACTTTCACCAGAGCCCAGAAACAACATTTCATCCTGCATGCTACACACTATGCCAGGGCAGGGCACCCATTCTGCTAGAGCCAAGGAACCCTTGTCATGCCTAAGACATTATTAAAATAAAATCCACGTTTATTCTGTCCAGCCAGCTTGTGGAATGCAAGCCAAGAAGCATCTTTTTGGTTAAGGGTTGGGGGCCAAGGAAGTCCCCTAAGCGCTCTGTTCCCTCTCCACCTAATCGCTCCCCTTTCAATTCATACACACAGGTGCACACACAGACACACACATACACAGACACACTCATGTATGCCTGGGGACTATTTTGTTCCTCTTAATTGAAATGATACGAAAAAGCTTCTTTTGCTTATCTTCATCTTTTCCATTTTTTCCTAGGAAGGGTGGTTGCTATTGGCTTATTCTCTGTATGTGTGAACGTGTGTGTGTGTGTGTGTGTGTGTGTGCGTGTGTGTGTGTTTCCTGGTCATTTTTTTTTCCCAACTGCATCTCCACAATGAGTCAAAATTCAAACACGTTTGGAAAATAAATAGTTCCAGCATCGCATTTGTTAGAGCCCGAGCCTGTTGTCAAGGGCAGCTTGGCTGTTGGGTACCCCGTGCAGGTCTCGAGAGAAAAAGAATAACTCAGCTGGCCAGGTTCTTGGGCTGAGCTGGGAGCATGCATTCCAAATGCACAGATTTCCTAGGGTCTTTGTTTCCTAGTGTGATTGGAGTTGGACACACGGAAGGGCTGACATATTTAGTCAAAACCGCCATGCTTGGTGGCTTCTGATCATTTTAAGAAAATGTCCAGAGCTAGGGTTTACTGAGGCCCTCCTTTGTGCCAGCAACAGTGTGAGAGCTGGATCCACATTGGACCAAGTTTTCGAGGTGTGAATTACCCAGCAAGAAGAAGGGTGAGAATTACATGTACAATGGGTTCTTTGTATTAATGATAATAACAGCTAGCACTTAGTTGCATACTGTATCCTAAGCAGGTTACAAACCATTACATAGTATTAATATTTTGGAGATTACTATTACTTTTTTTTTTTTTTTTTTGGCGGTACGCGGGCCTCTCACTGTTGTGGCCTCTCCCATTGCGGAGCACAGGCTCCGGACACGCAGGCTCAGCGGCCATGGCTCACGGGCCCAGCCGCTCTGCGGCATGTGGGATCCTCCCAGACCGGGGCACGAACCCACGTCCCCTGCATCGGCAGGCAGACTCTCAACCACTGCGCCACCAGGGAAGCCCCAATATTACATTTTAGTAATAATGTTTTTTTTTTAATGAAAAGTATTTCAAACATACAGGCAAGAATACAGAAAATATAATAAACACTAGCTTTTAAAAATCTTAACGGCATGCTCTATTTGCTCCAGATCTTTTTCTACTGGAACAAGACATCACAGCTGTACCTGAGGTCCCCATGCACCTACCCTGATCCCAGTTTTTTCCTTCTACTTTCCAACCAGGAGTTTATATTTGGAGTTTACTGTGTCAATAGATTTTTAAAATGTTTATTACACAATTATGTAGCCGTACACATTATATTTTGTTGTTCATGCAGGTTTTGAAATTTTACATAATTGATATCTAGCTGTACATCTCATTCTGTATTTTGCTGTTTTCTTCCCACTTAACATAGATTATCACATTTAATCCTCACAACGGCCTTAAGAGGTTGGCACCGTTTTACAGACGAGGAAGGGGAGGAACAGAGGAGATAAAACCCTTACACTAACATTTCCTTATGCTGAATATGGGTCTAAACTATGACTTGGTAGTTCCACTCCTAAGCGTAGACTCCTAAAAAACACGTATTTAGGGACGCCAAAGATGTGCACAAGAATGTTCATAGGATCTTTATTTGTAAGAGCTAAATATTAGAAATAACCCATATGTCCATCAACAGAAGAACGGATAAACACACTGTGGTGAAGTCACACCACAGAACATCATACATCAATGAGAAAGGATGGGCTTGCGCAGCCGCAGCATCGTGGATGCATCTCAGACATGATGCTGAGTGAAAGAAGCCAGACACAAAGGAATGCACCGCGTGGTTCCATCCGTATGAAGTTCAGAAGCAGAACTATGTGATGACAATAGAGCAGTGATTACTTCTGGGGACGGAGGGCAGGGTGGACTGGGAGGGCCAAGGGCAGGGGCTGCTGGGTGGCTGAAAGTGCTCTAGAACCTGATCTTGGTGGTGGTTACACAGGGTAGGAGGATGTAAAAACTCTTCAGGCTTTGCATTTAGATTTATGTATTGTACCACATGCGCACTATACCTTGATGGTGACGGTGGTGATAACCGATGATGGTGCTGATGAAGAGGAGGAGGAGGATGTAGATGGTGGTGATGACGATGACAATGATGATAGACCACTTGTGTGGAGTCATACAGATCATCTGTGGCAGAGCCATTTAAACCCAGACAGTCAGACCTCTGACTGCACTTGACCACGACTCTGGACATTTATGAAGCGAAGGTAGAAGAGCAGATAAAGTTACCTGCCCGAGTTCATGCAGTAATCACATAGAAAAGGTAGCACTTGACCCTAGTTCTGTCTGACTCCCACATTTGTAACTCTTTTCTTTGCCTCTGACCCCTGCCAGGGACAGAGCCAGGGTTCTCTGGGTACCCCATTCTCTGTCAGCGTGCTGATGACTCAGTTTCCCACTCTTTGTATAACTCATTTACAGAACGTGTCCACAAGCAGTTCACAGGTGGAGAAACGGAGGCTCAGTCATGCATCCCCAGATGACCAGATCCCCAGGTTCCTGTGAGGCCCCATGGACAGAGCGTGAAGCCTGGGGTCAGTCAGATCAGATCCTGCTGAGAATCCCAGGCTGGCCATCATTGTGTGCCTCGGTGTTCCCATCTGCCAAGTGGACATGGCAATCCTGGCTCCGCAGGGCAAGGTGAGTATGAAACGAGGCAGTGACCAAAAGGCATGCACACCGGCAGCCACCTGTCTCTCTTCCTGACTCCTTGGCTTCCCCGGCCGTTCAGGCTTTCTTGTTCATCACTTGGTTGACCTCTCAGCCTTCTTGCAGCTTTAAGATTCTATGATTTATGGCATTTTATGCAAATGTCGATTAAGCACTCAGCTCTGCACGCTGCAGAGAAAAAGGAGGGGGTGGGGTGGGCTGGCATGGTCCCTAATTCCAAACGGGTAACAATAATGTTGACAGGGGAAGTGACAAGTGACATGTCAGCTGTTCCCTCTTCTCTTGAAACACCCAGGGGACCACACTTCACTCCTGCATTTGGTTCATGCAGGATATGAAAGGGATGGCCCAGCCTGGGATGGGTTGGGTCCCCGATAGGAATTAGCACAGGGGGCCTGGGCATTGGGGAGTCATCCCCCAGGATGGGTACCCCTTTGTAGCAGGCCTTTATTGAACATTCTATTCCATAGTGCCCTATAAAACCAAGAGGGAAAAACAAAAGCCTTCACTTCACAGAGCTACATAAAATAACCTTAAAACGAGCATCCATAAATGTGGCGCTAGTAATTATTTGCATCTAGTTAACCATGCAACAAAATGGAATAAACGCAGCTCCATTAACCTTATTTTAAAAGCACTTTTTGGTGATTCATGTTTATTACACAGTTAACATTTAAGAGAGTGGACGCCCACCACCGTTTCTGCTTTGGAACCCTGTACTGAAGAAAACACGCACTTGTGGGAAAGGGAAGTACAACAGATGAAGCAGAACCATTTCTACTTTCCCAACCCCTGCCCCAAAGAGACCTTCCTAGTCCAGTCCCTCGTTCAGTTTACAAGTATGTATCGAGCATCTGCTATGTCTCCAATACTTGGCGAGGTACTGGGGCTACCGCAGTGGGCAAGATGGCCACCAGCCTCAGGGAGCTGATGTTCCCATGAGGCAAGACCTGGGAAAGCAAATCACTTCTACTGTGAACGATTTGGGGCCCTGACCGAAATCTCTACCCAGCGACTTCCAAACCATAAATCCCCATTCTCATCCCACTTTTACTCCTGGCTTTTAGAATCCATGGAAGACAGCCACCTGAATCTACTAATGCCATGATGGCTGCAAAACGCTGGTTTTGTAACTCCATTATTTCTCCGCATTTATTAGTTGGTTGTCTACTGCAGAGCAGATCTATGCCTTCTCTTCTGTGCATCTACTTATTATCAGAATGGCTTCTTACTTTAGTCAGTGGTCTGTAATCCATTACTGAGGTCACACACACACAACCACACAAAAAGACTCAGAAACTGTTCTAGAAGAAATATCTGGACATCCAGAAGCAACTCAAGAAACATGATACCTAAATAATCCTGGATTGGGTCTAGCCCTGGAGATGAGGATGGGGAAATAGTTGTAAAGGGCTTATTGGGACGATTGGTGGGATTTGAATGGGACTGTGGTACAGGCTAACGCATGATAGCAATGGTAAATGGCCTGAATTTGATAATTGTGCTGTGGTTATGTACGAGATTGCTCTTACATTTAGGAAATACGCTCTGAAATATTTAACAGTTGGGTGACCAACAGTCCCAGTGTGCTCATGACTCTGAGGGGTCCCAGGGTGTGGGACTTTCAGTGCTAGAGCTAGGAAAATCCCAGGCAAACCAGGACATTTTGTCACTCTAGAGAAGGGAATCAGCACTCAACTTACATCATATGGTTCAGAAAAAAAACTATTTATATATATGGTATATAAGTATATATGTATGATATATACCATGTGTTATATATTAGTACTGACTACATATTTAATACTATACTAACATATATATTCATTATATACATATGTCTAATACGTAACACATTATTTATAGTAATATATTAGCATAAGTACACAATTATGTATTAATATATTAGTAATATACTAATACATATATTAATAAATATATCTAACACTTTATATATCTATAGTATATCTATAATATACCTATAGTATATGTAGTATAGTATATATAGAGATATATATAATCTACTTCTATGTATCTAATCTATTATGTATCTAATTAATACACACATATATTTAAATTTAGTGAGAAAATCAAGAAATGTGACAATTGGTGAACGTTTACAATTGGTGAAGCTGGTGAAAAGTAAACAGAACTCCTTTGTACTTTTATTAGTTTCCTGGGGAGTACTTTGCTGTAACAAAGTACCCAAAACCGGGTGGCTCAGAACAACAGGAACTTTCTGTCTCACAGCTCTGGAGGCTAGAAGTCTGAGACAAGGGGTCAGCAGAGCCCTGCTTCCTCTGTACCCTATAGGGGAGGATCTTTCCTTGCCTCTTGTAGGTTCTAGAATCCCCAGATGTTCGCTGTCATCACCCCAACCTTCCCATGGCCTCCTCCCTGTGTCTCTTCCCTCTGTGCATGACTGTCTCTGTCCCCACATTTCCCTTTTTTATAAGGACACAGTCATGTTGGATTAGGATCCACCCTAATGACCTTATTTTAACTTGACTCCTTCTGTAAAGACCCTGTTTCTAAACAAGGTTACATTCTGAGGTATTGGGGGTTAGCACTTCAATCTCTCTTTTTTTTGGTGGGGGGAACACAATTCAACCCATAACAGTACTATTCTAGCAACTTTTCTATAAGTGTGAAATTATATCAACACAGAAAGTTATAAAAGTCATACAAATTGGATGATGCCATTCACCCTCTGTGGACCCTCAGCAGAGTCCCCCTGCCCACAGGGTGGGCGTCTACAAGCCCTGTGGGCTCTGAACTGTATCAGGCAGGACTCCAGGTTGGCTCACTTCAGGAGACTTTGATAAAGAAACTATTTCCAAGGGTGGAAGAAAGCCCACAAGGACCACTCCACGCCTGGAAGGGACCTGGGGAGGGGGCCGGCCGGAGGGTCCTCTTCAGGTGTTCAGATAATACCTTGCTTATGGTGTCCCTGCAGCGGGGGAGCTGCAGGAGTCAATACCCCACCCCAGTTTCCTCCAACCCTTCCATCTACTACTGTCCCCCCATAGCCTGACGAACCTGAAGCCATGGATGCTGTCAAAGCCACGGGGTCACTGCCCTGGGCACCGAACACAGTGGAGCAGGGTGGTAAAGGGGCAGGGGTCATGGAAGGTGCTGACACTGAAGCCACACCTGCTTCCTTGGGGACCCTCACTCTGCCTCCCTCCTTCACTTAGCCCTCCAGGCTTGTGGGCAATGACACCTGCACTTCCTCGGCCCCCTGAGTTCTCCCACTCCATCCCCATCTCCTACCTTGGCTCTACTCATAGCAACCTACATCGCTCATCTGTGACACTGATCAAAAGCAAGCTTTAGGGAAGCAACGTAAGTGTCCATCAACAGAGGAATGGATGAAGAAGGTGTGGTATATATACGATGGAATACTACTCAGCGGTAAAAAAAAGCCCCAAAAAACCCATGAAATAATGCCACTTGTGGCAACATGGATGGACCTACAGATTATCACACTAAGTGAAGTAAATGAGACAGAGAAAGACAAGTATCCTATGACATCCCTGATACGTGGAATGTAAAAAACGATACAAATGAACTTATTTACAAAACAGAAAGAGACTCACAGACACAGAAAACAAACCTGTGGTTACCAAAGTGGAAAGGGAAGGGGAGGGATAAATTAGGAGTTTGGGATTAGCAGATTCAAGCTACTATTTATAAAATAGATAAACAACAAGGTCCTAGTGTATAGCACAGGGAACTATATTCAATATCTTGTAATAACCTACAATGGAAAAGAATCTGAAAAAGTATATATATATATATATTTATATAACTGTATCACTTTGCTGTACACCTGAAACTAACACAATATTGTAAATTAACTATACTTCAATTAAAAAACAAAAAACAAATTTTTTAAAAAGTAAGCTTTGTCATATGATCACCAGCTCCATGCTGTGTCCCTGTCCCGAGCATAAGCCCCACAAGGGCCAGGACCATTGTGTCTGCTTTGTTCCCTGCTGCAACCTCTTCAGACCAGGTCTGGCACATAATAGATGTGTGATAAAGTTATTGAATGACAAACAGAATGAGGGGCTGGGGTGGAAGGAGGAGACTGTGAAGTTACCCAAAGAAAATGGCAGAATGGGGTGAACAACCAGGTTCCCTGATGCCCAGGTCAGTGCCTGCAGCCGTCTCCCAACCCATGTTAGTCATCTTCTAGAAGAGCTACTTTGGGGGCCCTTTAAAAGGCACTCTCTGCAAACCTTGTCAAACGATTCAATAGCAACTGCTCAGAAGGAGACATGTTGTTGCTATTTTCTTTTATAAGGTGAAATGTTTATAGAGATAAACTCAAGCTCAATTTGAACATCTCCAGAGAGAAGAAGCCAGAACCTTCTCGGGGAGGGAAATGGAGAATGAAGGTTGCTATGCAGGTGAATTGGGAAATACATGTGAGAGGCAGGCAG